ATAATTCTGGAGATAGCCCTATGAAAACTTCAAAACAGAAATATGGGTAGCTGACTTCAAATAACTCTATGTCAAATAGTCATAGGTTAAGTATCTTCAAAGAACTTGGATATTTCAGAGGATACAAAATAAAAAGACAAACTGGAAAACATAAAGATTATAGAGAAAAAACCAACACCTTCCTGTGCGGTCCTGTTGGAATTTGTAAGTACTTCTATGGTGAGCAAATCAGATGTGCATTTGTAATATGTAGTGAGAGTCAAATTTATCCTTTGTTCTTGGAAACATTTCAGTTTCTTGCAAAACTTTTGCTTTGGCTTGATTTTCCTGGGTAGTCTGAAAAGAGCCATTGGCTATTAAGCTGAAATGTAGAAAAAAAAGATGAAGAATGTTTCAGATTTATTTACAGCCCTCCGGTAAAAGTTTGTGCTTTTTTTTAAAGTCAAGACTTAAATCCATTTGGTCAGTATTTTGGACTTACAGAATAGTAGAAAAGTAGATTTAAAAACTCCTGCAAATTTCACTCTGATTAGTTTTACATTTTAAATATCTTGTGTCTTGATTGCAAGTTTACTTTTTCTGTGAGTTTAGACTGCATTGTACATACAGTTTAGAAATCAAGTTTATAGTTAATGTAGCTGTTTAATAACAGGTTCTGGTTTTAAATTTGATATTATAAAATAGCTTGTTTTAAGATACAACTATTGCTAACATTTTAATCCATTGTAGAAATTGTTTTTGAAACAATTTGTTGAAGTAGTTTTGTATTTCATTTTTTTTTCACTTTGAAAAAGAAAAATTACCAGGAAAGAAGCAGAGGAAATGAGCAAGATGGTTTAAAAACTTTCAAACTAGCATAATGATTATACCTCTTCCCCAATATTATGATGACTTAAGTTCATAATCAATACTGTTTTTTTTCCCTAAAAAAAGTTGTGAATGTTCATCGCTGTAGTAGAAATCCTTTTGACAAATGGGAGAATTTTTAGTTGTATTTTTAGAATTGAATGGTTTTTAGTTGCCATTAGTTACTGCATTGAACTTTTCAGTGAGTTGTGGGCATTCAGGAATGTTTTTTTTTTTTTTTAATTCACTTAACTATATTTTCAAACAATTAGTAAATAGATTAATATGGCTACATTTAATTATTTCATCTAATTATCTTTCTGAGGTAGAAGATTATGATTTTTGAGCACTTTCCTACAGTGATTTACTTATTTATTTCTAAACAGATTATTATTATTATTATTTTTTGGGCTAACCTGTTGAATTCTATTAGTTCCTTTAAAGAAAAAGAAATGATAGGCTAAATGAATGTAAGGATTTAGGTATTCATGTATAGGATTTATTTTCTGCTCTAAAATTGGGGTTAGCGAGTTCAGTCCCTATGTTCTAATACATTATGTATTTTCAGTGTCAAATATGTAGTATTTCTTTAAAAAATTCTTCTTAAAAATTTATTTATTTGAAATAGAATCTTGTTATTATGCATTGAGGGAAGCCTGGATCTTATGCGCATAGGCAAGGCTGACCTGGGAACTTGTGGAACTTGTAGAAGTTAACTTGTATGTGACACCACAGTAGGTCTTATGTATAGTATTTAAGTTGGCTTTTCATCTTAATTTATTTAAAAACTGATGAGAATATGAATCTGTCACTTGAGAGAGCCTGTATTCTGTATATTCCAGTTAGTTGGCTTTTCAAGTATTTGTGTAAAAATAAACATCTTTATTGTGAACAAGAAATTGAACTGTGGGACTAGAGAGATGGCTCAGTGGTTTAGAGCACTGGCTGCTCTTGAGGAGGACTTAAGTTTGGTTCCCAGCCACCTACATGTCAGCCAGCAACTCCAGCCAGCAACTCTGTAACTGCAGTTCTAGGGGATCGACACCCTCTTCTGGCCTCTGTGCATTGCATGACATGGATGCATTTACATACATGCAAACAAAACAGCCATACACATGAAATTAAAAAATACATACTAAATTTAATTGGGGACTACATGACCTTTATTCATAGAAAATAACTAGGTAACATTTGTTTTTGTAATCTTGAAGATTCTCATATTGATAATGTATTCTTAAAGAGCAAAATCGGTGGAGGGGGGATAAATTTATGGCAGAAATCAGCTTTCACCACTTGAATCCTTGAGCAGAGTCTTAACATTTGTGAACTTTGTTTATAGCAGTTGTTCAAGGACTGATGTACTTACCTGAAATTTTTTTTAAAAAAGACAGGTTCTTATGTAGTCCAGGTTGGCCTTAAAAACCAAGGATGACCTTAATGCCTTCCTCTGCCTCTCCAGTGCTGGAATTACAGCCCCCTCTACACGCCCAGTTTATGCATTACTAGGGATGAACGCAGGGATTTGCATTCTAAAGCATTCAACTAAGCTACATCCCCACCCCATCAATTATTTTCTGGAGATTGGAATATATATAGTATCACTGGTAGTAATTAGAGCGGTTGTAGTACTGCCTCTCTCTTTTTCTCTCCTGGATTTACTCATGATTTTTTTTTTTTCCTTTCTAAACTATAGATTTTAAAATAATTGTAATACCTAACCTTTGTAGATGGTGGTGACATGTGTTTTGCTGTGTACTGTTACATGGAATCTTAGTTCTGAATACTACCAGGAAAGTATTGTTATAGTGGACTAAGAGAAAATGAAGATTTAGTTTAGGAAAGTTGAGGCTAGAACAGAGTTACTTGGTTAGAATTGGAAACCAGGTGGTCTGACTCTTCCTATACTCTTTCTTACCTCATTCTCCCCTCCCTTTTTTTCAGACTGTTAAGCCTATGCTATACTTACACTTCTTGTGAACATTACTTTTATTAATTCATTCTATCTGAACATTGTCCTTGGCATTTCTGTTTTTTTCTGTATACCACTTCTCTTTGGCTAATCTTTCTTTTGGTCTTTTTGACATAGGGTCTCCCTGTAGCCCCAGCTGGCTTGGAACTTGCTTTGTAGACCAGGCTGGCTTTGAACTCACTGAGATTCGCCTGCCTCTCCTTCGAGTTCTGGGAATTAAGGTGTGCTTCACCATGCCTGGACTTTGGCTAATCTTGATTACATATTACAAATGGGGCTTGTAGAAGCTAAAAGTAAAGAAGCTATTGTTTAGTTTTGTTATTTGTTAAGAATAGCTGTTTGGGTGATTACTTTGCTTAGTTACAAATTAAAACGTGGTTTTTCAACCCATAGCCTATTTTCTACAGATAACGGAACTAAGTATGTATTTTCTATGACTTACTTTTTTCTCTGGTTTTGAACTGAAATTACCGCATGGATTTTCTTCTTACTTTTTTTTGTTTTTTTTTGGTCTTTTTGAGACAGCCTTTCCCTGTAGCCCCAGCTGACCTGGAACTCACTAAGCAGACCAGGCAGGCCTCAAAACGCACAGATCTGTCTGCTTCTGCTGCCCAGGTGCTGGGATTAAAGACGTGTGCCATCACGACCAGCTGATGTTCTTTTTTAAAAATTTTATTATTTTTATTTTTTGTGTATGATTGTATTGCCTGCATGTATGTAATTGCACCTATGTTGTGCAATGCCTGAGGAAGTCAGAAGACAGATCCTCTGGATCTGAAGGACAGTTGTTAGATGCCATGTGAGTGCTCAGATTCAAAGCTAGGGTCCTCTGCAAGAGCATTCAGTGCTTTTAACTGTGGAGCCATCTCCAGCCCTATAGGTTTTGTTCTTAAAGCTGCTAATGCATTTTAGTTGGAGGCACAGGAAAAAAAAAATTACAGAGAAAGATTAAGATGAGACTGTCTATCTGAAAGGAAAATAAGCAAATGAGGGTTAGATTGTGAATCTAGGTCAGATTACCTGTTTTTGGCTCAACCACATTGTTTTGTTAATGAAACAGCTTACTATCATTATTTAGCCTTGACTGGCCTGGAATTTGTCTTGTAGTCCAGACTGGTCTTGAATTTGTAATGATCTGCCTGATTCTGTCTCCTAAGTACAAGGATTACTGGCCTGCACCAGCAGACTCAGCCTAGACAAGGGTCTGTTTCAGTTTTTGATGAAAACTTTTTATTTTTAACATTTATTGTACATGTCCCTACCTATGTATGGAGGTTAAAGAACAACTTAAGGGAATCACTTCTCTCCCTCCACTGTGTGGTTATTAGGGATCCAGCTCAAATCATCAGAGTTGGTGGGAGATGCCTTTACCTGCTGAGCCATCTCAGTGGCCCTAATAAAAAATGTAAGGCAACAGTTGAGAAGCAAGTAAGGTAGTATGGGAAAAGGGGGTAATCTTTAGGAAAAGGTAATCTTTGAGAAATAGATAAAAGGTAATAGAAAAGAGGATATTGAATATCTAGAAAAAGACATATATAATATGTTACCTTAACCTTTTGCCTTAATTTTTCACTAAACTGATAATACTGTGGAGGCTTTTTAATTGTGAAGTATAATGTGTAAAATTCTTTGCAATCATAATATTAAAAGATTCATCTTGGGGCTGAAGAGATGGCTCAGTGGTTGAGAGCACTGACTGGTCTTGAAGAAGACTTGGGTTTGATTCCCAGCACCCACATGGTGGCTAACAACTGTTAGGAACGCCAGTTCCAGGGAATCTGATGCCCTCTTCTGACCTCCACAGGCGTTGCATGACATGGGTGTACTTACATACATGGAGGCGATGTACTCACACACATAAAAAAATAAAAATAAAATCTTAAAAAAACTTTAATCTGGGCATGGTGGCACATGCCTTTAATCTCAGCTCTTAGGAGGCAGAGTCAGGTGGATCTCTGAGTTCCAGGCCAGCCTGGTCTACATAGGAAGTTCCAGGCCAGCTGGAGCTACAGGGAGACCCTGTCTCAAAAAGAGCTCCCCCCTCAAAAAAAATAAGAGCTTAATGCCATTTGCATGTGACATCGTTTATATAGTGTCTCAAACTTTTCAACCTCTTGTTTCTGTTTATGGCGTTACCTGAATTCTTCTCATGCCTACCTTAAATTGTATATTTTTGACTTATCAGGATATACAGTTTTGCCTTCCCATTTCCAACTATTCTAGGTTTGTTCCCCACTAAGGAATTGGTTAACTTCTTTGGCTTCCATCCTATTATGTTCTTTCACAAAATTTCTCTTGTAGTCACAAGAAACCTACCTAAAATAGGTAATCAGAAACACCTTAGCTGATGTTCTGGCTCCCATCAGGTCTTGTAAAATCTCTGAAGATT